TTGTCAGTGGAAGTGATATCTCTGACACAGGTGAGCAGGAGGAGGCCAACAGCTTGCCCCTACTAGCCTGAGCTTGCAGCTGTGGTTGGGGCAAGCATATTCCTGGCTGAAGCTGCATACATGCGTACTGGAGCCCAAAGAGAACCCAAGCTATTCACACATGCCTGGCGGCCCCTGGAGCTGCACATACGTGCACAGGAGACTAAAAAAGGCCCTGTAGAAAATAAAACCTGAGGCATACTTGAAAACAGCCTGAATTTTGAATGTGTTCCCCTAAACATACACAGATCCATCAACAGAGGAAGACAGATTTATTGGTTTAAGGTGTTTGAGCATACTTCTGTCCAAACATTGACAAACTATTCAGCCATGAGACACAACAGTGAGAACTCTAGGAAGCCAGGCTTTAAATTAAAAGAAGAATATTTAAAAAACAAACAAAAGATTAAGTTCAATTGCCAATGGCCAATGATTTAATCAATCATGCCTATGTAATGAAGCCTCCATAAAAATCTAAAAGGATGGGGGTTTGGAGAGCTTCCAGGTTGGTGAACAAGTGGAGATGCAAAGAGAGGGTTGAGCTCCGAGAGGGCATGGAAGCTCCACACCCTGTCCCCATATTTTGCCCAGATCTTCCATCTGGCAGCTCCCGAGATATGTCCTTTTATAATAAACTGCTAATCTAGTAAGTAAATTGTTTCTCTGAGTTCTGTGAGCTGCTCTAAGAAATTAATCAAACCCAAGGAGGGGGTTGTTGGAAGCACAGAGGACAACCTGGACTTGTGACTGGCAGCTGAAGTGTGTGTGTGTGTGTGTGTGTGTGTGTGTGTGTGTGTGTGACAGCCTAGTAGGACTGAGCCCTTACCCTATGGGTACTGATGCTATCTCCAGGTAGATAATGTCAGAATTGAGTTGAATTGTAGGACACCTAGCTGGTATTGGAGCATTACTTGGTGGTGTGTGGGAACCCCCCTCCCCCATCAGAATTGGGTGCAGAATCCAAATTGGGTACAGAATCTTAGTCCCCCTAGATTAGCATCCATTGATAATTCTTGTCTGATCCAATCTCTACTATGAAAGCTCTAAAACAGTAATTTTCCAACTCTAGTACTCCCTCTACATTTATCAGCTGGCTCTTGGCATTCTACTGTAAGCAAGAACCCTCAATTCTGTTTGTTTACTATTGGTATAGATTCATGAATTTCTATTTTTACAATATTTATAAATCATTATTGTACTCAATTATTTTGGTGCTCAAGTTGTCCCAGATTTAGCCAGTTACGATCCCCTTCAAGCTGGCTTCTGTGTCCCTGTGACATGCCTCATCATTGCTGGGAAGACTTCCTTAATTTCTAACAGAAAAGATGTTCCAGGCTCATCTGGTACCTACTCTGCCCCAGCCCCAGAATTAGCCATTTCTCTAAGGAGCCCTAATTCCCTTTTAGTGGACCTACTAGTTATCTATTGCTGCATAACGAAATATCTTCAAAATTAGCAGCTTAAAACAACAAACAGTTGTTATCTCACACAGTTTCTGTGGTTCAGGAATTTGGGAGAAGTTTAGCTAGGTAGTTCTGGATAAGTTACTCTTCTCTCATGAGGTCACAATTAAGACACTCATTTCTTGAATTCGGGGAAATGTGAACTCCTTCTGGGGAGAAAAATCACACTTTTACAAGGAGTACACAGGCCCTAGAATTGAGTCAAAATTAATTTAATACTGTAGGGTTTCTTTTCTACTCTGAAAGACTGTTTATTTTAAGATCAAGCTCTAGACTACTTTTATTTCATGCTTTTACTTTTAGTCTGAGCATTTTCTTTTACATCAGTTGGTTCAAGTTATTACAACAAAAAGTTATTGAAGGTCTACCTGTACATGACAAATAAAAGAGATAAACTCCTGCCTGAAGGAGTTTGCAAAGTAGTATAATCCTTGTAGTCCTTTCCTGAAGCTTTTCTAAAGAAGTAACAACTTCAGAGATGAGGCTACCAGGAACTCCAACCTGTTTAATGATTCTTAGCCCCTTGCTCACCACCCTGGTCCTCTTTCAGCTACTGAATACCATGATTTACGCCGAGCTATTAGCTCTAACACGAATACCACGTAAATAGCAGTTCTGTCACCTGCCCAATTCAGGATGGTATCTCTTGGTATTTGAAGTCCCTGGGGATCCAAGCTGTCCTAGGACTAAGCCTTGCTCAATCCAGTTTAACACAAAAGGAGGCAGTTAATAATCAATGAAATTGAGAAATCAGCTCACACTGGCTAATCCATCTTTGAAGAAGCTGGGATTTTTTTATGAAAGAAGAGACAGGCCTGTCAGGGGTCCTAGGCCAGCAGTTGGGAGCGACAGTTTTAACCCCAGCACTGCCCTAATCAGCTGACAGGTGAGTGGTCCAACCACATCAGCTCTCCGAGCCTCAGTTTCCCCTTCTGTAAAACGAGGGGTAGGCTTGATGGCCCCTCTCTCACCGTAATTTTCCACTCCGAGGCTCAAGGACAAGGCCATAAAACGAGTAAAATTCCTTCCAGGACTGCTACCAGTGAACTCACTGGTCAACGTTGAACGATTTGTTCTTTGGGTCCAGGCAGTATGGGCAGCGACAGGGCACTAATCCTGGTTAATTTATTAATACACTTTGCCCAGACAAGGGACTATCCCTTAAAGCTCCGCACCTCCCCCGGGACTATCCCTCAAAGCTCCGCACCTCCCCCGCCTCTCGCGGAATCCTGGGAACCCAGGAATCGTGCCTAAACTTCAAAAGCCCGCCCCCTGGCAGCGAACAAGCTGAGCATAGGTCTACTCCTGCGCCTGCGAACTGCGATCGCAGGGCCGAGGTCTCGCGGCGAGACCCTCTCAAGCTCCTCAAACCGCGCGAGATTTCCTTGCGAGCTCCTCTACGGTGAGTGACGTGCAAAACGCAGCCTGCTGGGGTCGCTGGGGCTGGGGATCGGAAGCTGGATCCGGCCTTCCGCGTGAGGGAGGGTGTAGCAGTCAGGGTGACCTCCAGGCTTCCTCCGGGAGCTGCTGGCGACGCTGAAGAAGCAGAAGGTTTTTTTGTTTTTTGTTTTTTGTTTTTAGAATTGTTGGGAGTAAGCAACCTCAAATATGGACATAATTGTGTTTAAGGTGCCTCTGGGATGTTCATTTAACGTATTTATTGAGCACCTACCATGTGCCAGGAATAGGAAGTGAACCTAAATTATGGAACTGTGGGAGATCGAGATTTGGCCACCCTGAAATAGATCTCTTTACCTTGATTGTTTTCTCTGAGGGACATTTGACCTCCCCCACTAACTGCCTAAAGAGTTTGACATGGTGGCTCCTTCCTAGAACAGGTCTTCCATCATGATGGCTGTAATGATAATGTAAAATAGATGTTACAATGGGAGGGGCACCAAGCCCCTTTTATCAAAAAACTCTCTCTCTCCCTGACCACATTATCTATAGATGACCCTGAAAAGAATTGTCCTCCTGCCCTCTGAAGTCCCAGGCCACTACCCACCCCCAACACGCTCCTTGCCTTTAGCTGCAATACTTAAGCAAGCAGCTTAGACAGAGGGACGAGTTTCTGATTTCTGAGTTTCTCCCATGTATACATGTTATTAAACTTGGTATTATTTTCTCCTGCTAAGCTGTCTTGTTGATTATTTGGCCAGCCATAAGAACCTTAAGGAAAAGGGCAGAGGGAGATTCTTCCTCTTCCCCCGACAGAACAAAACAGACACAAATACCTGTCCTTTTGGTGCATACAATCTGGGAAGTCAGTTTGAAAGTCTGGGTTGTAGACGCAGATTTTTAGTAATTTCCATATGAGTGGTTCGTAGTGGGAGCCATGGAGGAAGGTGAGATCACCCAGAAGGGGAAGAGATGTGCAGGAATCCCCACGTGTTAGACTTGGGCGGAGAAAGGAGGACACCGGAAGACTGAAAGGAAAGGAGAGCGACTGGACAGAAAGAGTGGGGGAAATGTCAGCGATTTCCACATTTTATAACAAGGTCGTGGTCACCAGTCATTTGTGGTAGAATAGTTGAACAAGATCAGGGTAGAGAGGTGTATTTTTAAAAGGTGTTAGGAAGCTCATGTTATGGAAATGATATGTGTTGTGTTTGAGTATGGGTTCTAGGGTCGTCATTACCAGTTGTGCGACCATGGGCAAGTTATTCAAACCTCTCTGTGCCTCCCTTTCCTCGTCTCTAGAATGGGGACAATGATAGTACCATCCTCATAGGGTTGTTGGATGGAGGGGTTCAAGGAGACCATGACTATAAAGTCTTTAGCCTAGTTCCTGGCACTTGGGAACATTCAGGAAACAGGCTGAGAGAAGGGACTTTCCCAAGATCCCACCTCATTAGAACCAGGATGTGTACAGTACTCTCCTTTTCCTGGTTCAGTGCCCCTTCCCTTATACTAGGCTCTGAAATAGACACACATAACACACTCTTTATGACCTGCACCAGCGTAAATTTTTCAGTTGATCATTGATCTGGTATTATTTTGGAATATTACTTAGCACCAATTAGGAACCCACTCAATATCATACCAGGCAAATATGGTTTGCTTTAAGGTCGGTCAATAAAGACTTGAGATTTTTTCCCCCCACTTTGGATGAATTTAACACCACCACCACTCCTCCTTTCAGATCTAGAATTTGATGTGTCATATTTTAGATTATAATTTTGTGACTAAATCGAGTTCTTTATGTTTTAAATGTGTTTGTTGTGCTATGGAGGGATATTGTGCAATTATCCTACATTAGTTAATTGTAGTATTTGACACTTGAAAACTTTCTAATTTAATACAGAGAGAGAGAACTTTAATGGTGTACTTTTCATGCTGATAAGCAGTGTTTGGACAGATCTACAGTGTGCATATTTTAAAGAAATAAAGCATACATTGAAAGTAAATAGAGAAGAGGGCAAATGTGAAACTTCATTTGGAAAGACTCCTTTGATTGAAAATTTAGCCATCATGGTGCTGTTAATAACCACTAAGGTCAGTTATCTTTGGACCCAGCATCAATTTGGAAAACTTGTCTTTTTAATCCTTACATGGTTTACACACATGTACATGTGTGTAATCCTTACATGATTCAATAGAAAATTTCCTTTAAGGGGCTGGCCTGGTGGCGTAGCGGTTAAGTGCACGCGCTCCGCTTCGGAGGCCTGGGGTTCGCAGGTTCAGATCCCAGGCACGCACTGATGCACTGCTTGTCAAGCCATGCTGTGGTGGCGTCCCATATAAAATGGAGGAAGATGGGCACGGATGTTAGCCCAGGGCCAGTCTTCCTCAGTAAAAAAAGAGGAGGATTGGCATTGGATGTTAGCTCAGGGCTAGTCTTCCTCACAAAAAAAAAAAAAGAAAAAGAAAATTTCCTTTAAAAAATATATTTAACCCTACAAGACATTATGGATTTCTTGATGTGATGAAATAGGATGCACACAGCACCACCTTGAAAGATTCTTGCCTAAAAAATTGAACCTGCTTCTAAATGAATCTCTAGATCTAACTACCAGTCGAGGATAAGAGGGGAGATAGAAGAATGAGGTAGATGACACCATAAGGAAGCAATCAAAGGACATTCTACATGTAGACAAATAAAGAAACACATGTTTCTTCAGCAATCAATGGCATGAAATAAAAAAGAAGAGAGTTAATACTATTAATTCTGTTAGGTTAATGGCCTAGTGTTTATGTTTAAAACAATCTGTTATCAGAGATGCATAATTGAGGGATTTTGGGGTGAAATAGGATGATGTCTGGGATTTGTTTTAAGCGGAAGCTGGGAAAAGCAGTCTTTTAGCTGGGTAATGTGTCCAGAAGGAGAAAATGGATATTGAGGGCAACTAGCCATTAATGTCACAACCAGTGAGATTATAAATACACTGGTATGTGTTATAAAAAATAAGGAAGCAAATGGGATGAATGTCCATGTCCCTCACTCTGTTTTACGGAATGTTGCTGACGTCAGACGTTTAATTCTTAATTAGGAGCAGAATTCCCCTCCTCTAGGAAAGGGTGCCTAGAGGAGAGTTGGACATCATTATATGGCTGCATAGGTAAAAACCCTGTTTGGAGGAGATTGTGGGGCAATATTGGAAAGAGTGAGTGCATGTGAGATCTGGGATGAGGAGATTTATATTTCAGTCCCAACGCCTCTGCTTACCTGCTGCATGATCTTGGGTATAAACTATACCTCAACCTTGTCTGTAAAATGAGGATAGTAATATATTTACCTATGTAACTTTGTTTTAAGGAATAAATAATGGAATCTGTGTGAAAATTCTCTGTAAATTATCTCCGTATAAATACTATATTAAGCAAGATTTGAAAAATACCCCTTGATGATTATTTAACATTTTTTGAAATATATATAAATCTCAGGTCTGTATGAGATACTCAGATACTATATGGGATATAGAGAAATAGGAAGAAATTCAAGGATCTTGCAAATTTAGAAACTAGGAGTAGAGTCATGCATAAATGAAATTACCCAGTTATACAAGGCAAAGGATTATTAAATAACAAATGGATTTACAGATGGTTGTCAAATGTCTAAGTGTGCTGCTGTATAAAATCTTTACATTTAGATATGATGCTGAGAAACCTAAGTGCCCATCAAGGGATGAATGGATAAAGAAGCTGTGGTATATATACACAATGGAATACTACTCAGCCATAAGAAACGATGAAATCCAGCCATTTGTGACAACATGGATGGGCATTGAGGGTATAATGCAAAGTGAAATAAGTCAGAGGGAGAAGGTCAAATACCATATGATTTCCTTAATTAAGTAGTAGATGATAACAACAATAAACAAACACATAGGGACAGAGATTGGATTGGTGGTTACCAGAGGGGAAGGGGGGAGGGAGGAGGGTGAAAGGGATAATTCGGTACATGTGTGTGGTGATGGGTTGTAATTAGTATTTTGGTGGTGAACATGATGTAATCTATGCAGAAATAGAAGTACAATGATGTACACCTGAAATTTTTACAGTGTTATAAACCAATGTTACTGCAATAAACAAAAAACATGTGAAAGATAGATATGATGCTGAGAGCTAAATATGTTGCAATTGTTGTTATAAAAAAATAAGCAATTGACATAATTGGTTTTTGTGTGCTTCTCAATGTTATTAGGTACCAAAGATGATAAAACAAAATATCTAATGAGAGAAGACAAAAGTGGTAAATAAATATATTAATTTTAAAAAGGATAATATATGTTTAGTGTCTTAAAAATTAAAAAACTTAAACACATGGGATGGAAATTTTTATGTGGTAGTTAAGAGATTGGCTCTGGAATATCAGACAGCTTGTGTTTGAATCTCAGCTCTACCACTTTCGGAAAGTGGTGGAGCTTAAACTCTTTAAGGCTCAGTTTTCTCATTTACATAATGGGGATAATAATAATATTACTTAATAGGATTGTTAGGAGATTAAATGAATATATACATATTAAATGACTATGTATATTTCATAGCACTCACAGCAGTGCTTGGCACGTGGTAACACTCACTAAGGGTTTGTTCTCATTTTTACTGATGAATAAAGTAAGAAGAGCTATTTCCCCCAAGTCAGATACTGGAACTTCATTTTGCTTCTTTCATTAGCTCAAATTGTAAACCCAGAATAAACTGATCCTTTACTTACTTATTTGGCCATTCTGTATTACAGAATTTCCTATAAGGTGAGGATTTAAAAATGCTTTTGATGTATTACTTTTGTAATCAGCAAAACTATTAAGAAATTTCCATTTTGATAAATGAATAAAAGAATTTTTGAAAATTTGGTTACATCTCAATTAAACAGCTAGTGTTTTTATTTTGCTACTAGATTAACTGGCTAGCTCCAGAGGAATAGATCATGTTGTTTTCTTTTAACCAAGCCACAGTAGGAGCCTTAATCATGATGGTATGAAGTTGAATGTGCTTGAATTATGAGGCCAGAAACATTTTGTCCCACTCAATCTTCAATGAACTTGTTCCTATTAGCCAAAAATTCTAATTAGATTTAGTTTTTCTTCATATATTTGCTTTAGGAGGCCAACTCTGACAGGAGACTGTATCTTTTTTGGATCCTAAATATGATTTTTCCTCTCCTTGTTCAGAAACACAAAGGTGCTGCATTTTTTATTTTTAAATCATTGAATATTTCAAAGCTTTCTTGTGATTTTTAAATTTTTCTATTTATAGGGGTTATTTTATACCGAAATCTTGTGAGACTACCGTGCAAACAAGGCAATGATTGTACAAAGAGTGGTACTGAATTCCCGACCTGGTATGTATGTGTCTGTGATGAGTGAACAGCTGTGGTCTTTCATAATTATTAATGCCAATGGAGGAGCAAAAAGTAATATGATGTCAATGTGGTAAATTAAGGTATGAAGATATTAACACTAGCAGAGATATTAGAAGAAACTCTTTAAACAATGTAATATACAGTTTTTCAAGTGATAACTTATCAAGGCCATTTGTTGAAGAAATAAAATAATAATTATTATAATATTTAGGAGGTTATATTACAAATATATGTGGCTTTTTTTTTCTTTATAGTACACATCAATGATTCTTAAAATTTGCTTTTCTCTTTTGTGTGAAAAGCACCGACCTATGTCCATGCTGACATCTAACCTGAATCATAGAACTTAGGTATGGAAGTAAGCTGAGAGGTTTGGGCCTGTGCTGCCTTGGTTTTCCTGCTTACCTAGTGTGTGGCCTGGGGAAGTCACTTAATGTTTTCTTTTCTTTTCTTTTTTTTTTTTTTGAGGCAGATTAGCCCTGCGCTAACATCTGTTGCCAATCTGCCTCTTTTTTCTTTTTTTTCTCCCCAAAGCCCCAGTACATAGTTGTAGAGTTGTAGCTCTTCTATGTGAGACGTTGCCTCAGCATGGCTTGATGAGTGGTGAGTAGGTCTGCGCCCAGGATCTGATCCAGTGAGCCCCGGGCCCAAAGCAGAAGGCGCAAACTTAACCACTGGGCCACTGGGCTGCCCTCACTTACGTTTTCTGACCTCAGTTTTAGTAAAGTGAACAGTTAGATTAAAATCTTTACATTCTAATTCTACCGTAGAAATTTGATGATTAAATTAATAGCAAGTTTGCTTATTTTAAACATAACTGAATGAGTGCACTTTTAGTGATGACATTTGCTGCTTATAAATTTTTCTTTTCATACTTCAAATTTTCTAATTTCCTAATTTTCAAGACTTTATTTTTTTTTTATTACTTTCATTTAAGTTTCTGTTTTCTTCTTAAAATGAGGAAGGAAGGTTTACCTAACTGTTTACTTTGGCTGATGTGGTATTCTGCTACCTTATAAATTTTAATTTTCATATTTAAAAGAAAGCTGGCTGTGGGGCTGGCACTGTGGCCTAGTGGTTAAGTTTGGCGCACTCCGCTTCAGTGACCTGGGTCCCCAGGTTTGGATCCTGGGCATAGACCTACACCACTCGTCAGCCATGCTATGGCGGCGACCCACATACAAAATAGAGGAAGACTGGCACAGATGTTGGCTCAGGGCTAATCTTCCTTAAGCAAAAAAAAAAAAGAGGAAGATTGGCAACAGATGTTAGCTCAGGGTGAATCTTCCTCAGGAAAAAAAAAAAACTGACTGTGATTTTTCACTTTTTGAAATCCTCCTCTAATTTTAAAACAGATGAAGTGATTTATCTGTAATCATCTTAAAAAAAAGAAAATCTGAAATTGAAAGCAATATTCCAAAGGAACTTCTTGGAGAAAATCAACAGCTATTGAAACTTTTTGAAGAATTTATGCTGAGTTACAGAGAAGTTGCAATACAATATAGATTTATTCATGCCTGTATTAAAAGGGAGTTCTCTGAATCCTAGAGTAACCGTTTAAGGAATATAAATAATTATATAGGGAAGTGACTTTTGGATTTTATATTTTTGCCTGATATTTTAGGAAAAAATGGTAATCCAGTGGCGGAGAATTTCCGAGTAGAAGAAGTAAATTTACCAGATAATATCAATGAAGGACAAGTGCAAGTCAGAACTCTTTATCTTTCTGTGGATCCTTACATGGTAAGAATCAGGATTTTGTGACTTGGTGAAAATTAATTTTATTTTTATATTTTTCATGTTGCATCTGAATTTTATTGTACAATCCTCATGATTAATAAATATTTGAGCAGTTATATCTTGGTACCTGTGAATTACAGATTGCTTTGTTTTTATTCACAAGTGTTATAAAGGAATATTGTAGAAGGAATGTTTTCATAATAGTAGTGCGTGTGGTTAGTCAGGTTCTTCCAAATGTCCAGATCACTTCCCAATAGTTAGTAAAGCTTGAAGATGGTAAATTAGGATTGGAAATTCTCTCAGATTGATCCAGTTTACAAGGCAGGCTCTGTACAAGACCTTTATTCTAAGTGGTCTCTTTTTGAGAGGAACAGACTCACTTATGCTACTTCTGCATAGATTTATGAAAAGGTATATATTGCTTAGGACTATAGCTGAAAAGCCATCAGGCACATGGATTTAGGCTCTATTAATAGGGATAATTTTACTTCTTTATTTCCTATATGGATGCCTTTTATTTCATTTTCTTGCTGATTAGAAGTACAATGTTACATACAAGTGATGAGAGCAGACATCCTTGTCTTGTTCCTAATCTTAGGGGGAAAGTATTCAGTCTTTATACCATTAAGTATTGTGATGGTAGATCTACTTGTAGATGCCCTTTATCAAGTTGAGGAAATTTCCTCCTATTCCTGATTTGTTGAGTGTTTTTATCATAAAGGGGTGTTGGATTTTTTTGTGTGTGTGTGTAAGGAAGATTAGCCCTGAGCTGACATCCGTTGCCAATCCTCCTCTTTTTGCTGAGGAAGATTGGCCCTGGGCTAACATCTGTGCCCATCTTCCTCTACTTTATATGGGATGCTGCCACAGCATGGCTTGACAAGCAGTGCGTCAGTCCGTGCCCGGGATTCGAACCTGCGAACCCTGGGCCGCTGAAGCAGAGCCTGCGAACTTAACTGCTTCACCACCAGGCCGGCCCCGGGTTTTTTTTTTTTTATTGTGGTAAAATATGTATAATATAAAATATACCATTTTAACCATATGTAAGTGTACAATTCAGTGGCGTTAAGAAGATTCACAATGTTGTGCATCCATTACCACTTTCCATATCCAGAACTTTTTCATCATCTTAAATAGAAACTCTGTGCCCATTAAACAATAAAATCCCCATTACTCCCTACCCCCAGAAGAGGTTTTGGATTTTGTCATATGCTTTTTCTGCTTCTATTGAGATGATCGTGTGTTTTTTGTTTTTTAATCCATTGATATGGTTTATTATATTAATTGATTTTCAGATGTTAAATCAGTCTTGCATTATTAGAATAAATCCCACTTGGTCCTGGTGTGCAATTCTTTGATATGTTGCTGGATTTGGTTTGCCTCTATTTTGTTGAGGTTTTTTGCATCCATAAGGTCATAAGACCATATTCATGGTCTGTTGTTTTCTTTTCTTGTGATGTGTTTACCTGGTTTTGGTATCAGGATAATATGGGCCTCTAGAATGAGTTGGGAAGTGTTCCCTCCTCTTCTGGTTTTGGAAGAGTTTGTGAAGAAGTGATAGCATTCTTTAAAAGACTGGTAGAATTCCCCAATGAAGCCATCTGGCCTGGGCTTTTCTTTCTGGAATGTTTTAAAATTACCAATTCAATGTCCTTATTTGTTACAGGTCTATTAAGATTTTCTGTTTCTTCTTGAGTTAGCTTCAGTAGTTTGTGTCTTTCTGGGAATTTCTCAATTCATCTAAGTTGTGTAATTTATTGGCATACAATTGTTCTTAATATTCTATTATAATCTTTTTTATTTCTGAAAGGTAGGTAGTACTATGCCTTCTATCATTCCTGGTTTTAGTAATTTAAGTCTTGTCTGTTTTTTCTTGGTCATTTTAGCTAAAACTTTGTCAATTTTGCTAATCTATTCAGAGATTTCAACTTTTGGTTTTGTTGATTTTCTGTACTGTTTTTCTATTGTCTATTTCATTAATTTCTGCTCTTTGTACTAGTTTTACAACTTCCTGTGAGTCTTTACATATTTAACAAAAAAAAAGTTAAAAGAAAATCAGTAGGCTTTTTTGGTAAACTGTGTTGGATCAGTTCACTGTATACTTTGGGAAAAACTTACATCCTTAGCTCAGCCCCTATACCATAATAAATCCCAACAGATAATAAAAAGTTAAAGAAAAAATGAAACTATAGAAGATTTTAGAAAAAATATGGGCGAACAATCGACTGATGTTGGGGAATGAAAGACTTTCTAGAATGACAGCAAACCCAGGTAATATGAAAGAACGTGATTGATAAATGTGACTATTTAAAAAAACACTGTATTTTGCAAAACACAATAAAACAGTATGTACAAAATCAAAAGACAAGTGGCAAAGTTAGAAAAATTTGCAATATAAATAACAAGAAAAAAGATGATAATGTCTGATATGCAGAAAGCTCCTATACGTTAATCTGTAAAAAGTAGAAAGTTGGGCAAAGAGCACAAATAGGCAATTTATAATCTCTTTCGGGATTACTGTTTCTATACATATACTTGCCTCTTCCTTCTGGCTTCTAGAGTGCCCTTGTAGAAGATAAAGAGAATCCTGGCTTACCTCTTCTCAGGCTTCACTTAATAATGGAGACCCAATTGGCAGTACCACTTTCTGCCAGGACAGTTGTATAGCCTTGGGAAGGCTCCTCTTCCCTGTGATCCATGAGTGCAATTCAGGCTCTGTCTTCCAGTGATACCAGTCACACTTGATTTTGCTTACAATGGAAAGCAATTTGCTGACTTCATTCAAAATTCTTCCCAGAAGTAGCAAGAAATTTTTCTTTATGGGCTAGGGAAATGAGGTGGTGATTGGTCTAAAACATTCTAAATAGACAAATTTTCAAGTTGAAACAGAGGGGTAATGTGGTCATTGATTTCCCACAGACCTAAAGATGCTCCCCCTTTCAATGGCAGCCAAGGCAAGCTCAGTTAAGGTATGGGCCTCATCATTCTAAACTGTGCTAACCAGATCGCGTGAGGAGAATAATTATCACAAATTCAGGAGAAAAATGACAGTACACTAATTAGTGTGCAGAGTCAATTCTTCATGATGACTGGTTTGGATTTCTTAAGACTTTTACACTTCAATATCTAAAGATATAACTCAAGGGCATCTAAGGATTACAGATGCCCTAATGAACAAAATGTAAAGAATATCACTTAAGCCCAGGATAATAAATACAAAGTAAATTAAGAGAACAAAATCTACCAAAATACAGCCAAGGTTCAAGATTAGAAGTGTGTGTTTTGTTTTGTTTTTGTGGGGAAGATCGGCCCTGAGCTAACATCTGCCAATCCTCCTCTTTTTTTGCTGAGGAAGACTGGCCCTGGGCTAACATCCATGCCCATCTTCCTCTACTTTATATGGGATGCTGCCACAGCATGGCTTTGCCAAGCGCTGCATCAGTGCACGCCTGGGATCCAAACCGGCGAACCCCAGGCCACCGCAGCGGAGCGCTCGCACTTAACCGCTTGCATCACCGGGCTGGCCCCTAGAAGTGTGTTTTAAAAATCAAACATAGCAGATGAAAAGGAATAGTTGAAAACAAGCGAAAAAGATGTGTTCTTCACAGAATTCTTTAAGTTGGAGTAAACTTTCCGTTCAGCAGAATTCCCTCTGAGAGTCTGAGAGTGGCAGAAATTCATGACCCCCAAAATTTTAGGGGTAGAGAAATGATGAAACAACTAGGATTATGACATGAATTGAATTCATGATCTTCACTTCTAAACACCCGCAACCTCAAAACAACATAAAACAAAAAACCTCTTTTTCCTGCAGGGAAATAAATAGTTCCTCTATCGACTCATTTCATGCTAGAAAGCATTGAGTCTTTCTTGAGAATTTTGTCTCTTTGTTCTGTGTATTCTGTCAGTCAATCATCAGGTCCTGTGGATCCCACCTCCTCAGTACTTCTCAATTCAGTCTGCTTCTTGGTAAGCTCCAAGGACATCTACTTAGTCTGAATCACCATTGTTTCTCTCCTATTGGGGTATCCTTGCATACACTCTTTGCTCCCTTAAACCGTCTTCCACACTGCAGCCAGAATGATCTTTTTATAACAGCAACTAACCATGTCACCTTGCTTAAAATCGTTTAATGGCTTCCCATTAGTCTTGGGGTAAAGACTAACATCCTGGACGTAGTCTGAGATGCTGCATAGTCTAGCCCCTGTTTGCCTGCCCAGCCTCACCATACCCTACTTTACTTCTTAGCCTTGTATGCTGGCCTTACTGGGCTTCTTTCTTTTGTAATACACCAATGCCCCTTTTTGCTCAAGCCTTGTATTAATCATGTTTTTTGTTTTCGGTATTTTATGATGCTTTGGTATCTTAGGGTCCTTGCTAATCTTAGAGATACTGCCCCTCCCCGGGCTAACTAATTTTTAGAGATAACAAACCAGTTGCCTGGACACACCTTTCATATGTAAACCAATCAATCTAAAGCCCATATCTCTAACCACATCCTTCATCTAATTCTCACACACCAAGCCAATATTTCCCCTGCCCTAAATCATCCCAGGGCCAGGTACCAGACAACTAGGAACCCCCTCTATAAGCTAGAGCCCACCAAAATTATTCCAACTCTCCAATCCTAAACTTACTCAAGCTTTACTACCCCACCTTGCCCATTCCTTCCCCTGGAAACTGCAATAAAGACTGGGCCATGCTCTCCTCTTGCTCCTTTTGCATCCTGACTAACTTTGGTGCATCCCCATGTGGCCCTGCATGGTATGGTGTGCCCCTCCTCTTGGGAACTGTAAGTAATAAACTCTTCCTTCAAGGCAGTTTTTCTCTGTGTCTTTCATCTTACCATACCTGATTAAAACAAAATCCCTGGTACAAATTAAATCAAGCCTTCATACGGGCTGACCCTCTATCTAAAAACTTCCTCCCACCCCTTTCCCTTTCCCTGGCTAACCCCTGTTATTCCCTGGAAGCCTGCTTTAAAGAGATTTGCTTTGGAAAATCACCCTGAACCCTCAGACTAGTCCTCTCCATTTTCTCAAAATAGTACCTTGATTATTTTTCCCTGTTTTAATTAAGAATTATTTGTCTAGTTATTAGATATCTGTTTTCCCTAATAAAAAATAAACTTATGAAGACAGAGGTCTTATTTATCACTGTATTATCACTGTAACTAGCATGTGACTAGCATGTGACTATCAGTGACTAGCATGGTGCTTATTAAGTAATAATTAAAGGAAGGAAGAAAATCACTTTGGTTTCTTTTACTAGACATTGTTCTAAAAAACAATAATAAGCAACTTTAAATGGAAAAAAGGAACCTAATGAACATTGTCATTGAAATTTTATATCATTTCAGATTCACAACTAATTTTAATCACCATGTGGATACAGTATTTACAAGGTTATATTTAGTGTGTATATACTATTTAAATTTCATTATTTGAGTGACTATATGCATATCTTCATAGGAAAAACTAATCCAAATATCATTAGTTTGGTGGTTATATAACATTCTGTTGTGTTGACATCATTTGCTTACCTATAGGGAATTACTTGTTCCTGCTTTTTCTATTAGCCTTAAGACTCAGGTCCTTGGTCTGGCCAGTATCCAATGGCTGCTGCACTTGCTTTCCAAGAATACATGGGAGGGGCACACAAGCAAAAGTGTAGTGTATTCCCATAGAAACTTCTGCCTCAATTCCCTATTTGGTCTTTTCCCCTGGCGAACTGAATAAGACCACGTCGGGTACCTTAATCAAGCAGGCTTCCATCTTTTCCATCTCCTGGACCATACTGTAGGCCTCTACATCTTGGCCTTCATGAGAGAGACAAGAGTAAGCCACAGAGAGGAAGAGAGCCTTGACTACTTCCCAGAGAAGTCTTCAGCCCTAATCCCGTGGAAGGGTGCAGTGCCATTATGACGTTTTGTCTTTGCAGAACAAAGAGAACATCCTCCTGATGTTGGGGGTAGGATGTAGTGCTTGGTCTGAAGTTGTGATGAACAACTGTGTAAAAATCGTTTCATTTCTTTTTGGGTTATTTCCATTGGGGAAGCAGAATTACTAGGCCAAAAGAAATGAGTAGTAGTATGGTCTATATATTGCTAATTTGTTTTCCATTAAAAATGGACAGTTTTATAATATTATCAGTAACATGTATGTAATTTGCCACAATCCATTGAAACCATTGATACACTATTTTGTATTATTTTTGCTAGCATAATGTGTGTAATATTACTTAAATTTCTTTAAGTAATTGTTTAAAAATCTTAACAGCTTTATTGAAATATAATTCACATATCATATAATTCATACATTTAAAGTGTACAATTCAGTGGTTTTTAGTCTGTTCAGAAAGTTGTGTTGGGCCGGCCCTGTGGCTTAGCGGTTAAGTGCACGTGCTCCGCTACTGGTGGCCCGAGTTCGGATCCTGGGTGCGAACCAAGGCACCACTTCTCTGGCCATGCTGAGGCCGCGTGCCACACAGAACAACTAGAAGGATGTGCAACTATGACGTACAACTATCTACTGGGGCTTTGGGGGAAAAAAGAGGAGGAGGATTGGCAATAGATGTTAGCTCAGAGATGGTCTTCCTCAGCAAAAAGAGGAGGATTAGCATGGATGTTAGCTCAGGGCTGATCTTCCTCACACACAAAAAATTAATTAATTAATTAATTAATTAATTAATTAAAAAAGAAAAACATACCTATAGAAAGTTGTGGAACTATCACCACAATCTAATTTTAGAACATATTAAATTCCTTTTTAACTGCACTTCTTTACTTTTTAGAGAGGGGATACATTTTTTTCAGGATAAAAAAATAGCTGAAAGGGGAAGAGAGAAATTAAGATAAACTTTGTTTGGCTAACATTTTACTTAACATTACTTATTATGTACCTTTCTTTCAGTCACTGGGTAAATTAGTAAAGTGGTTCAGTATTATCAGACAGAATTATCCTAATCAATGTTTTCTTTTTTTAGCGTTGTAGAATGAATGAAGACACTGGCACTGATTATATAATGCCTTGGCAGCTGTCTCAAGTGGTTGATGGTGGAGGTGTTGGGATTATAGAAGAAAGCAAACACAAAAATTTTACTAAAGGCGATTTTGTGACTTGTTTCAATTGGCCCTGGCAAACCAAGGTTATTCTGGATGGAAATAGCCTTGAAAAGGTGATGTATAGCATCTAGTATCTGATTTTTTTCCCCTATAATTCTTACTTTGTGCATTTGGTGTTCGGTTCTGTTTATTATTAGGGAAAAAATAAAAGCATACATTTTCTTTTAGATAGCTTCCCAAACGTGGAAAGCCTTTGTTCCTTTTCCATTGTTGGCTGTAACTATATATGACAGTTCTTAGATTACTAGTGAATGGTGTTGTTTTCCATATTTAATTTATTTCTCAAATATTACATGTATAAAATAAAGCCTGAGCTATAAGCAACAAAAAGTATTTTATACTAAGAAAGCTCCTTATGGTTGTATGCTTTAAAGTTTCCTGAGAAATTGCCACTTGACTTAAGAAATTTATTTGGTTTGTGCTTGAAATTCCATCTTGTGTCAGAAATCCTGAGTTCCGTTTCTACTGTTAGGTCGAACCACGTGAAATTACCAATATTTGTCTGTTTTGACCTACAAAAACTGACAGCTTCATGTAATTCAACCTAATATATGTCATCAAGGCAGTTACTTTATGTCTCTGAACCTCAGTTTCCTCATGTGCAAAATAAAAATAATAGCTATCTCACAAGTAAATGTGACTAAGACTTTGTAAAAAGCTTTATAAAATTTTAGTATTTTTTATTATTGCAAATTCTTATAATCAGTTAAAGGTGGCTTATAATATCAGCAACATGTAAGTGTACCTAATTTGCCACAATCCATTGAAACCATTAACACTATTTTGTATTATTTTTGCTAGTGTAATGTGTGTAATGATATGTAAGAGATGTTACACAATCATTTATCAATTTACTGGTACTAGTAAAATATATTTAACTAGGAATTTCTTAGCAGAAAGTAAAAAAGAAATATTCAGACAGCTTCCCTGTTATTGTTTGAGCAGTTGAAGAGAGCTTAAAAATGCTTCGGGAAAGGTGTTAGAAATGAGGAAAAAGAATTCAGAAGGGATGGAGAAATGATGTTTGCTGAACAAACTTATCTCGCAATGTTTTTTGGCTTTACTAATAAACAATTACCTACATGAAATGTTTATGTGTACTGTAAACCTTTCTGTGTATTGTAGACTTTGATATCTGCCATTACCTTTATCCACACACCAGATTTAACTGATAGCCATTTAAAACTGCTGAACACAAACTGCCATTTTATTTATTTGCGGCTGTTTACTATAAATCAAACTAAAGTGATGACTCTTGATTCTTTTGGTGATTTATTAAGTTTTTACTAAAATTATTCCTTAAAAAATTATTATAGGGCCGGCCCCGTGGCGTAGCGGTTAAGTGCGCACGCTCCACTGCTGGCGGCCCGGGTTCGGATCATGGGCGCGCACTGAGGCACCGCTTGTCAGGCCATGCTGTGGTGGTGTCCCACATAAAGTGGAGGAAGATGGGCATGGATGTTAGCTGAGGGCCAAGCTTCCTCAGCAAAAAAGAGGAGGATTGGCATGGATGTTGGCTCAGGGCTGATCTCCTCACAAAAAAAAATAAAAATTATTATAAAACCTTTATGGTAGGGAGTCTTTCTATATCATTTTTTTTTCAATTCTCCCTAATTTTACAGATAAGAAAACAGACACAGAAAATGTAAGAGAATTATAATTAATTATTGATAGGGCCTGGTAAACATATAAACATAAAGTGCTATAATGTTGAGAGAGACCTCACTTTATTCTGTAATTAAACTAGAAGAAATTGTATCACACCTTCCTTACATTTTTATGGTACATTTTAAGCATCAGTAATGGGAACTGTTAGAGTTTGAGCTGATTTTTATATAGATAAATGTTTACTTTGGAATTGCTCAAAGATTTTAAAACCTCCAACTTTGTCTAGTGTTTTCCTGTTAAGTGTTTCCTCTCTTTTGATATACTTGAGGCATTGACAAGAAAGAATAGTTAGTGTCTTTTATGTGGGAATTCTTTTTGAAAGTTTTTGGTTTTTTTCTATTAAGAGAAGTAATATTCATTTGTTTTTTACTTTGTACAAGTAAATTATAGAATTTTAACAAGACTGAAGAATGGTTCTAGAAGCCGTAGTGGCTGGTTTATTAGTCTGCTTGAACTGCCATTACAAAATACCATAGATTCAGTGGCTTAAACAACAGAAATTTATTTTCTCACAGTTCTGGAGGCTAGAAGTCTGAGATGAAAGTGCTGGAAAATTTGGTTTCTGGTGAAGCCTCTTTTCCTGGCTTGCAGATGGCCACCTTCTCTCCATGTCCCTCACATGGCATTCAGCCTTTTGTCTGTGCACATGCAGAGAAAGAAATTTCTGCTGTCTTCCTCCTCTTATAAGGACTAAAGTCCTGTTGGATTAGGGCCCTACCCTTATGACCTCATTTAACCTTAATTATCTCCTTAATGGCCCTATCTCCAAATATAGTCACATTAAGGGTTAGGTCTTCAATATATGAATTTTGGGGGGGACACAAGTCAGTCCATAACAGGTTATCTCCACCTTGTTGACTTAAAACATCGTTTCCTAGTATTGTTTTTAGCAGGTTTCTGTTTTATTTTAGGTAGATCCGCAACTTGTGGATGGACACCTTTCATACTTTCTTGGAGCTATAGGTATGCCTGGTTTGACTTCCTTGATTGGGGTACAGGAAAAAGGTCATATAACTGCTGGATCTAATCAGACAATGGTTGTTAGTGGGGCTGCTGGTGCCTGTGGATCCTTGGCTGGGCAGGTAAACTTTCTCATAATTCTTCTAAAAAAGTAGTCATAATTGAATCTCTGGATACATGTATATGATTTAAAATACAAAACTGAACAAATTTATAATTATTTTACACATTTCTGGTAGAAATGTTATTATCTGCTTACACTGTCTTCATAACAATATGAAAAATGTTGTAGATTTTTGTATCTTGTTCTCTATTAGCCAAAAATAGGCATGGTAAATGCTAGAGCATTGCTCCAATCAATATAAGGAAGAAAATCATAGAGTACCTGTCTAGAATTCCATGAATTAGAAAACAAACTCATATTTTTAAAAAAATCTTCAAATAAGAAAGCACTTATTAGGTTCTAGGAATATAGTAAATATTATGATAGTATTTTATAAAGTGCATTGTTTTATAAATAATAGCTGTTATAGTGTGAAACCATTGGAACAAAACATTTTATCTTAGTAGTGATTTGCTTTCCTCACAGGCCAGAAAAATATTGAATTGCAAGATAGTGATGTCTTGGGTCTGACTGTTCCTTTTATGAAATCGGCTTTAAGTTGTGAGATTTTAACATTCAAACTAAGTCTAATTTTATTCAATCTTAATTTTTTCAAGAATAACTGTTCTCAGTTCTTTTGGTTTCAAATTACTTTTAGCTAAAAGCCCTTTAATCTATCCTAAACTGTGATGAACATTCTCATATACTTGTAATATCCTGTATGCTTTTTTTTTACATTTAAATGTGACATAGATGTTTAACTTTCAAAAATTTCTTCCCTAGATTGGCCATTTGATGGGCTGTTCCAGAGTAGTGGGAATTTGTGGAACACATGAGAAGTGCCTCTTTTTGACCTCAGAACTCGGCTTTGATGCTGCAATTAATTATAAAAAGGAGAATGTGGCGGAACGACTCCGTGAATTATGCCCAGCTGGAGTGGATGTTTACTTTGACAACGTTGGCGGTGACATCAGCGATACAGTGATTAGTCAGGTTGTTTGCTGATTTGTTTGTTATAACTTTGAATACTACATTTTATTTGATGTGCTATCTTTTTACCTGAGACTGAGAGAGAAAAAAACTTTATAAGATCTTAGGGTTTATTGTGAAAAATGATATGATGAGCAGTATTGTAATTAAGTGATAGAGAAGAGCTTGCTGATGTCTGCTTCCATTTGCCTACAGATTTGCACTATGAGCATCAATTTCAGTTCTTTGCTAGCAACACTATATTTTTCACCTGCAATTTATTTTTGTGAAAAATTACAGTTTGTATTGTTGAAATGGTGAAGTTCTGACCCCTAACTCACCATCAACCAACTTACAGCTATGACTCCTGACTTTGGGTAGGAATGGATTTTCATAGATTGCAGGTATTTAAGTATTTTTTAATGACAATGTTATAAAACATCAGCGTTAGCTATTAACACTGCATTGACCTTCACTATATGTAAAATTATTTGCAACTGAGGTTAAATTATTTAAATCCAAAGAAATACTCTACTACTACTAATAAAAGTAGCAAGAACATTGCTGACAACTAATGTAATTCTTTTGCTGATTACCATACACTCGTTTACCTTTACGTTTCTTTGGAGTGGACTTATTTTCTAGCTAATTAAAACTCTTAGGGGGCCGGCCCTGTGGCTTAGCAGTTGGGTGCTCTCGCTCCGCTGCTGGCGGCCCTGGTTCGGATCCCAGGCGCACACCAACGCACCGCTTGTCCGGCCATGCTGGGGCGGCATCCCACATACAGCAACTAGAAGGATATGCAACTATGACATACAACTATCTACTGGGGCTTTGGGAAGAAAAAGGGAAAAAAAGGAGGAGGATTGGCAATGGATGTTAGCTCAGGGCCAGTCTTCCTCAGCAAAAACAGGAGGATTGGCGTGGATGTTAGCTCAGGGCTGATCTTCCTCACAAAAAAAAAACCACTTAAATACATATAATGGGTACATCATCTAAACAAAATCAATTAATTGGCACTAAAGGATTAAATAGTCAAGGAGACTCTCATTGAGGCAGCCATAAAATTGGTAAACAGAGGAAAGGCATATATATCTTAGGGTATAATCATCAGTTTTCTCTGAACAGATGAACCAGAACAGCCACATCATCCTGTGTGGTCAAATTTCTCAGTACAACAAAGATGTGCCTTATCCTCCTCCACTACCCCCTGCTGTAGAAGCAATCAGGAAAGAAAAAAACATCACAAGGTGTGTTCTGCCCTCTCTCCGTATTATCAGATTCATTTAAAGATCACAGATGAATGAAATGTATTGTTCTTCATATATAATTTTTCCTTATTAAATAAAAATTGAAAATATACATTTTAAGCCAGTTCAATATTTAGGGTTTGGTTAACTAGCTCCCTGGCAGAAAACTTAAAAAAAATGCATCTGTTCTGCCAGTCTTTTGCAAGTCTTTTGCAAGTGACAGAAACTCAATTCACATTGGTTTAAGTGCAAAGGAAATTTATTGGCTCATGTGTCTGAGATGTCCAATATTAGTACTGGCTTACATTTGGCTGGGTAAAGGGTTTGCATAGTGGCTTCATGACTCAGTTTTTTTCCACCCCTGGGCTGTGCTTTCTTCTGGGTTGGCTCTGCTCCCTGGCAGGTTCTCCTCTTGTAGCAGCAAGAGGATAACTGGTATCTCTAGTCTTATATTTTACCAAGTTAGCAATCCAAACAAAAAGAGAACAGCTCTCTCCTTGTGGTTTTATCAAGTCCCAAAGCTGAAACTTATTGGCTCAGACTGGCCTGGCTTTGGTCACATGAGGGTGGGGAAAGGATGTTACCTACAAAGTAAAATCACAGTGCTAGTGCCAAACAGGGTTGTAGGTGCTGAACAGACAAACAGAAATCCATGACACTTAACACCTGTAACTACACCTAAAACTATATCTGACCAGACTCTGTGTGATTAAGCCTTATGTTTGAAAGATTAACAGATATTGGAGTTCTGGAATGATTTGATTTTGGACTGTTTTACTCCCTCCCTCATCTCTGATAATTATCCTTTTCTCCCCCACTACAGAGAAAGATTTCTGGTGTTCAATTATAAGGACAAATTTGAGTCTGGTATTCTACAGCTGAGTCAGTGGTTTAAAGGAGGAAAACTAAAGGTAGAACTTGCTTCTATTCTTTATCAACATCATTCTTCCTGCAACTTGATATACTTTTGTATTATCTGAATTTATTATAGCAAACTTATTAGTTTCATAATAAAAATTCCTACAAAAGAAAAGTGTACTGAATATTATAAATTAACTTTACCTCTCAGGTGAGTATAACCTCCTAATTGAGAAACTCTCATTTCCTTTATCTAAAATTTTAACTTTTACTTTTCTTAGATTATATTACAAAATCAATAGGTTTTTTTCCCCCAAATTGTAATATTCATTAATTTAACAAATATTTATGGAATGCTACCATGTGTTAGAAGCTGTGCTTTCTCAAAAATCATATAAGCACCTCCTAGTACCCCTACCTCTCCACCACTATACATCTTTCCTGCCCTCCCTGGACATTCTGATATATCTCTTGCTTGTTGGTTGAAAATCAGGAGTTATTAATCTGGGGTCCAGAGATCGTGACCTAGGGTGTTCTTGAAACCTGCAAATGACAGCAAAGTTGTATGTGTATGTGCCTATGTACTTTGTTTTTTGAAAAGAGGGTGCATAGCTTGTGATGTTACCAATTGAAGATTAGACAGTGGAAAAATAGGACTTTAAAAAAATCAATTGATAGGAAACTTTTCTGGGCTACCTACATGAAATGAAGAATGTCTATTTTTAGACAGAAAGTGCTAAATAGTATTGCTGCCTTTTGCAAAAGTGGAAACTATTAAATAGTTTAATAGTTTAAATTAAATAGAAACATTGAAGTCTAAAGAAGAATACTAAATATGGCTCTTTTGATTTACAGATCAAAGAGACTATGATAAATGGATTGGAAAACATGGGAGGTAAGATGAATGTAGATTTATTTATTATATTGTCGGGGGAAGAGGGAGAATCTCCCTCTGCCCTTTCCCTTAAGGTTCTTCTGGCTGGCCAAATAATCAACAAGACAGGTTAGCAGGAGAAAATAATACCAAGTTTAATAACATGTATACATGGGAGAAACTCAGAAAT